AGCCCGGGGAACAAGAAATCACTTAAATTCTGAATCGGCAATCGGCGGAAGCGGCCCGGCAAGTCGCCATGTTTGTTTTCATAGCGTAACGCAATCGTTTGTTTAGCGCGAAATCACAGAAGAGAAGTGAAATGTACCAAAATAAAAAGTTCTTTTGCACGTCAGCATCGCACTTTGCTTTATTTTGACCATGGTATAACTTATGCGTGGCACAGAGAACAAAAAAATTACTATGAATCGGCAACTATCGGGCCCCGATAGTCGGCAGAGTCGATCGACAAACGCGGCCAGTCGCCATGTTGTTTACATAGCGTATGTTTGTTTAGTGCAATCAGGGCAGAGAAGTGAAATGTATCGAAATAAAAAGTCATTTTATACTTCAACATCGCAGTTTGTTGTACTAAAGTTTACCCATAACATATCAAACTTATACGTGGCCCAGGGAACAAGAAATCACTATGAATCGCTGACAACTATCGGCTGGAGGCGACAAACGCAACCAGTCGGCATGTTCGTTTACATAGCGTATTGCATTGGTATTAGCGTATGTTTGTTTAGCGCGATCACTGTAGAGACGTAAAATAAAGAGTTCTTTTATACTTCAACATCGCAGTTTTCTGCATTTTGACCATGAGATAACTTTAAATTAATATAGTGGCCCATTGAACAAAAAATCCGGTCCCGTCACGTAATAAACTTAACTTAAAATTTCTTGTCAATGCTTTAGCAAGGACATTATACAGAGTGTATAATGTCTTTAGTTTTAGGAATTTTAGTTAGAACCTCCTTTGTTAGATTACTCTCAGCAATAAAAGAGGAATAGCATTTCTTAGAGAAATAGAATCAGTACTTGTCCATTTTTACATAATTGCAATATCTTAGGATAATCTAGTATTTCAGTGTCTTTGACTTCTGGGTATCATTTGGAACGGAACGGAACACTCCCTCGTTCAGGTTCTGCCTTATTGCTTATCCCTCGGATCCCGCGACGCGACGGGATTTTTTGGTCTATGGGCCACTATAAGTTATCTCACGGTCAAAATGCAGCAAACTGCGATGTTGAAGTATAAAAGAACTCTTTATTTCACTTCTCCACAGTGATCGCGCTAAACAAACATACGCTAATAGCCTAATACCAATGCAATACGCTATGTAAACGAACATGCCGACTGGTTGCGTTTGTCGCCTCCAGCCGATAGTTGCCAGCGATTCATAGTGATTTCTTGTTCCCTGGGCCATGTATAAGTTTGATATGTTATGGGTAAACTTTAGTACAGCAAACTGCGATGTTGGAGTATAAAAGAACTTTTTATTTCGATACATTTCACTTCTCTGCCGTGATTACACTAAACAAACATACGCTATGTAAACAACATGGCGACTGGCCGCGTTTGTCGATCGACTCTGCCGACTATCGGGGCCCGATAGTTGCCGATTCATATATGTAATTTTTTTGTTCTTTTTTTGTTATGCCACGCATAAGTTATACCGTCAAAATAGAGCAAACTGCGATGCTGAAGTGCAAAAGAAGTTATTTTGGTACATTTCACTTCTCTTCTGTGATTTCGCGCTAAACAAACGATTGCGTTACGCTATGTAAACAAACATGGCGACTGGCCGGGCCGCTTCCGCCGATTGCCGATTCAGAATTTAAGTGATTTCTTGTTTCCTGGGCTACGTATAAAGCTAAGGTCCCAATTGGGAAAAGGGGCCCTGGCGGGTAGTTCCCGGGCTGTTTTTTACCACTTTCGGGCGGGACCCCGACGTGGCCCCGCGGGGCACCCTGCGGCTACCGGGATATTTTTTGGCCCGTCGGGGCCCCGATAAGAATTTAATTCTGAGTTAAATTCTACCCGGGCCCCGCTAACAACAAGACGCCGTGACCTCATCGTGAGAACACCGGGAGGTACCCCTCCGGTTGCCGGCATTCCACCGGGACACATTTCTTACGTCACAGACCAGATGGACAGAATAAAGGTGTGTACTTCGTAAACCCGGGTAAAATGTGTGACCTCACAGATCAAATGATCACAACAAATACGTGAATTCTGCATTACGTATAGGTCAATACAAGACATCGTCAGAGAATCTGCTGGGTACCTGCCGGGTGCCTGCCGGATACCGACCAAAGAGGGTGACAAACTTTCTAACAAAATGCTACTGAAGGAAACTTTTAATTGTGACCACGACAGACGATGCCCGCTCGACTCCTGAACCCGGCCGGGGCCAGACGGGGCTACATCCCCGACGGGCACCGGCGTAATTGGGACCTTAGCTTAAGTTATCTTATGCCAAAAATACAGCGATTTGGGCAGTTATCTAATCAATGAAGGGTGTATTCCGGTAGATTTAAGCCTCCTATATATGTTTTCCGGTGCTTTCCGGTAAATAGGCAGACCCGCTAACAATCGTGCCAAACAACAACCCACTTCATAGAAAGATTAGAAAGCCACAAGGCTCTAAAACCGGTTTGAAACATTTAATATTGCAAATCCGTGTTACAACTTGAATGCATAATTTTGACAAAAATGATAACAAGGCTGGCAATGAAAAACGTAATGGAGATGACGATTTTTTTTATCAATCATATTGTGTATGTAAATAGGGCAAGCTTTTACATTTCGATGGTGATGCGCGTATCAGGTAAAATAGTCACGAGAATATTACAGTGTCACAGTCATGAACAGTTTACTGTCCCTCTTCATAAAATTTGTGTGTTGGCAGTTTCGAAGTTTGATAGAAATAAAATTAAAAAAAAACACGCGCCTCGTGATACCCCCCCCCCCACACACACACACAAAAAAGGACGACCCTTAGTGTTTTATATGATATGAATCTTTATTGCATGTTCTTGCCCAGATGGGCTAAAGGCACAAGATGATGAAAAAACGTAAGTATTACATACTGAAACGTTATATTCTAATGCTAAGTGCTAGGAGTCTATATATTACAACTACAATACTATATAGTACCTATCATCTACTGTTAGTTGCCCTATATATAAAAGACCGAAGTGGAACATTTAGCGTGTAGAAAAAGGCGCAAATTGACAAAAAATACAACAAACAACAAATCTACATTGTTTTGTGAACGGCCTGTTGACAGCAATCATTAATAAAACAATAGATCTACCAGCGATTCGCATCAAATCAGTTCAAAACCTACGATTATTAAACATTCTAACTTAAAACTTGCTTTCTCCTGTTTCACGAAGATTTGTTAAAATGGCGGCGCCGCAAATTTCCGTCTCGTAAACGGTCGTCGCCTTTCCGAACGGTCGTCGCCTTTTTTCAGAACGGTCGTCGCCTTTCGGAGCGGTCGTCGCCATTTCCGAGCGACCGAACTTCAGTTCCGAATATCCGCGACATGTTCGGGACTTCCCCGAGTTCTTTGAATGTGTGAAATCACACTTCCTGAAGATAACATCGCGACCGAAGACGGGCCAGAACTTGGCTAGGTGGATTGAAGTTGCGTGGGTGCTAGTACATGTATTATAATTATAAGTTCCGGGGGTTGAATTATCTAGGTTAGAACAAGGTTAGTGTTTGAGAAATTCTCGATTGGAACGGGAAGGGTTTGGGTAACTCTGAACTCGAATGTCTCTGGGTATTTATTTTTCTTGTATGTGAACATGTCCTTTGCCTTTTTTCTTTGTTTCCTTTTGAAATGCGAATAAACATTATTTAAAAAAAAAACCCCTCTGAACTAGAACGTTTGTAGGTTTTCATACATTGCTGAATTTGAAACGGGGGCGAGAAAAACTCCACATGTATTTTTGGAACAGCCCATTGTGCGAGCATGTAATTTATGAATGCTGCAGGATGGTCTGACTCAGAAACATTCATTCGGAAGCACCATCACACATGCAGGCATTTACTCTGACCAAGGACATTATGTCCTGACTGACTGACTGACTCACAACTCCACCACAGCCGGGTTTTATTTTGTTGTCTCAGTGCTTGCCCAGCATAGCAGGCCATTTCACACTTGTCACCAGCATGGCATTGATGTGCTACCCAGTGAATGTGTCGTATTTACATACAGTGCAGTGGTGAATGTGTCAAGTATTAACATTCAGCAAGGTAACAAAACATAGACATTTCGGGATGAAAATAGCTTTACAAGTTTGTCAAAACTCCTGTCAAAGTAAGACATTGTCCCCCTTCTAAAACAGCAGGTCCTTTATTAATCCTACATGAATTTTACATAAACGAAAGGAATACATACCACAGGGATTGAGAAATATAGCACAGGGACGGAATCTATGTTTGTTTTTGGTTGAAGATTCATTTGTCATTTGTATAAACGGCATTATATGAACCCTTCTTCAGTTTGCTGGCGAAGGGAAACAAGAATAGGCTGGAGAAGATCCAGGCCTAGGATCGTATGCTGATCTTATAAAATCAGCAGTTGAGGAGACAAGTTACTTTTCTGGCCCGCCTACGGTCGCCATGTTATGGACTGAGTGCGATTCACACATTCCAAGAACTCCGGGAAGTCCCGAACATGCCGCGGATATTCGGAACTGAAGTTCGGTCGCTCGGAAATGGCGACGACCGCTCCGAAAGGCGACGACCGTTCTGAAAAAAGGCGACGACCGTTCTGAAAGGCGACGACCGTTTACGAGACGGAAATTTGCGGCGGCGCCCAATGCGCTCTGTTGGATCCCGTTCATACAAAGAAAGTTCGAGAATCTAAATTTACTAAAACAAAAAAATACTGTACCCACTGTAAAAACAACGAATAAAGCCGTCGCAAAACCGTCGCACGGATTACTTCAAACATATCGAGACAACACTTCTGCAGTGCTCATTTTATGTTCCAGAACGGAGAGAGTGAATTTTCCGTCAACAGCACAGCTATTGCACCAGCGCCCTCGTACGGCTGGGATGAACTGCAGCAATGCGACCCAACGTCATGTCAGAACGCCACAAATGGACTACCATGCGGAGGTATGTACCAAGCATACAGTGTCTTCTAATAATGTAGGTTTATTGTTGCTATCTCCATGAAAAATGGAGGTATTGTTTTTGTTCTGTCTGACTCTCCGTCCGTATGTCTCTCTGTGTTTCCGCATATTTGTGATCATCATACTATTAAAAAAGGCCTTTTTGATGTTGTTGTGTACGTGTTTGTGACAGCTGTATGTGTGATGTTAGGATGTATCTATTGTTTGATGTTTGTTGTGAAGGTCCAGAGCGGGGTGTTTGTGACAGCTGTATGTGTGATGTTGGGATGTATCTATTGTTTGACGTTTGTTGTGTAGGTCCAGAGCGGGGGGTGTGTGTGTGTTACAGCTGTGTGTGTGATGTTGGGATGTATCTATTGTTTGATGTTTGTTGTGTAGGTCCAGAGCGGGGTGTGTGTGACAGCTGTATGTGTGATGTTGGGATGTATCTATTGTTTGATGTTTGTTGTGTAGGTCCTGAGCGGGGTGTGTGTGTGTGTGACAGCTGTATGTGTGATGTTGGGATGTATCTATTGTTTGATGTTTGTTGTGTAGGTCCTGAGCGGGGTGTGTGTGTGTGTGACAGCTGTATGTGTGATGTTGGGATGTATCTATTGTTTGATGTTTGTTGTGTAGGACCAGAGCGGGGTGTGTGTGACAGCTGTATGTGTGATGTTGGGATGTATCTATTGTTTGTTGTGTAGGACCAGAGCGGGGTGTGTGTGGTTGTGGCAGCTGTATGTGTAAAGCCGGCTGGATGGGGCGGACCTGTGACTGCTGGCAGACTGCCATCTCTTGCTGGTTGCAGACACCACCGGTGAGTACATGTCATTACTACCGTCACCGTAAAAACATCAAACGTCTGCATTTACGTATAACCTTATCATAGTCAGAAACGAAACCGGCAACAAGATACAACATGTAGAAGGAAATGGCTGTGTGAAACTCTATCAATCCATCTATTTGACAGTTCCATAATGTAAATAGATAAACATGTACTGGGGAAAGGTGCTTGATAAGTTGATAAGCAGTTGAAATGCTCAAATTAACAAATAAAACGGCCTAACAAAAAGAATCTTCATCATCTAGAATATGCCGCGACAGTATGGGATCCATATACAAAGAAAGACAAAGATAAACTGGAAAGGGTACAGAACCAAGCTGCAAAATTCTGCACGAACAATTACCAAAGGGGTGCTAGTGTAACGGAAATGTACTTGAGAAACCTACAGTGGGGGTCGCTGGAAGACAGACGTAGAATGTCCAGACTGTGCAAATGACTAATAAACTGGTGGACGTACCAACCACTAAGTATCTGATACCAGCCCAGAAAAGTACAAGAAACAGTCATGCCTTCAAATATCAGAATTATCAACCAAGAATTGAGGTATTAAAAAAGTCGTATTTCCCCCAGAACTATCGTAAACCTGAACTCGTTGCCACCAAGCACAGTTGGAGCATCATCACTAGAAAGCTTTAAACAACTCCTGCAATCAAATGTGCAAAGATTAAGTGTAACAAGTCGTTCTGTGTGATATAGCTAGCTGCCGCCGCGCCGCGTACCTGCAAAGCTGGTGTGTTGCGCCGAAGGGCAGTTATATCGGCTATACAGATATAGATACAGATCTTAGCCCCATTAACTAATCTTATACATGTATACCAATTAAGAAATCTGCTAAGCCACCGTGACTGCGAACACACCAATATGACTGGAAATATAGTTCCTTCCGGCGGAAGGATTTCTCCTTCTCCGGAGTGAACCGATCGTATGATTTACAGGGGCCGAGCGGACGTACATCGGGGGACACTCTTGCGCCTGCGCCGTATCACTTACTGATACAGCTGGAAAAAGACCTGGGTACGTATCCCGGTATGCCACTGCCGACGTCAGGGCCAAGAAAGGGCGTGTTTTTTTTCTAGAAGACACAGTCTTTGTTGCAGAAACTACATTGTGTAGGAAAGACTTTAATCGGTTCGAATGCGCTGTGTACTTTATTTTTAAAGAGAGGGGCTGGTAAAACTGACATTAGAAGATAAGTCGTTTCGTAAATAAATCACGGTCAATCCTTAATACTGACATGTACAGTACTTATCTCTGGTCTGTTTTGGTTTGGGATGCACAGTGCTTGAAATTCATTCTTATGAAAACTTCGAGTTTTGATCTTGTTGATCGATTCTCGTCGCTTCTATCAGTTTTGTCCTAAGTTAACACTGAGAAGAAGCGAAAGACAACGAAAGACTACAAGTATAGATATGGTAATTTTCTCCAGAGCATGCTGTACCTGCCCAAAGCGTCGTGCATTCCCTCCCAACATCCAGCTATCTCCCCACACCCAGCGCCACTCGCTTTACTTGTTTCTCACACCGCAGGTCTGGTGTCCCAGGGCCGGGTGACGGGCCGCGGACCTGCCCTGACGAGCTGGGATTGTGACACGGTGACCGGAGTACCGCAGTCCGTCCGCAGTGACATGGAACTCAGTTACTTTTACCAGGTGAGCTTCTGTAGGAGCTTAGATGTACAATGCAACTGTTTCCAGGGTCTACACAGGCCAATGCATCCATGCTTTCAAGGAAATAATTCTAAAGCCCCCTCAACTCTTGCTAAATCTGAGCTTAGCGTGCTATGGGCATGTATCCTGGTTAATGATTTAACTACGGCAAGGTAGGAAAACTGTTACATACATGAACGTTTGAGCTCTCATGCGTTCCTGAGGTTCATTTTAAGGTAAATTGTCAACGAATTAGGTTAACATGTCGAAGTATAGATATAAACTTCTGCGAATCTCAGAAATATAACGTTATATTAGATATAACATATTGATACCTGAGGTAACTCCGGCAGATGACTTTTGACAACTTTTCATGACATAATTCCCACATAATTCCGAACTCTTTTCAAACGTTTTAAGACACCAAAACCTATTGCTGTCTTATGCCACTCACCCATTCACTATGCCCACCCGTAGAAATACCTGCACGCGTACGGTATCCCGGTGCTGGGGTCCAGCCGCGTGCCTGACTCCGCCCTCCGCCGGGCCTGCTACGTCGTGCGCTTCATGTTCGCGGACCGGCAGGACGTCAGGGACCACTTCCACGACCGGTACGGCAGGCACGCTCTCATGGCTGAGTCAGAGGTAACCGGACACATTTTTTTGTTCCAACATACCTTCAATTTTGTTTCAACTATAAAAGGCCATGTTGATTTGATTATATGGATGACACCCTTTATCCTCGGTGAAACCCGCCCTACGTGCTTTTTGTCCGTATGTTTTATTTGGAGGCCACGTCTGCACGTAGAAAAAGTTTTACATGCACTTAAAGTTCTACGGCGTGTCTGCGTGCTCCAAAATCCGTAGCATTCCGTACGGAGGTGGTACTCACCACGCACGGATGCCCTACGTTTGCCCACGTTTTTGCACGTAGACAGCACGCAGAAGCACGTACGGCGGGTTGTAACATAGTTTGCAGAACCTACATTATTCTTATAATGTTGCTGGCTATACATTTGATTGACATGTTGATCTCAGAAAGGACTGTCTTTGAATACATGTTAGCTCCTGTATGAGACAGTTTCCAGTCTCAACAGTGCCAAACCTGAGAATCTGCTTGGTTAAATAACTTTTAAATTGGCGCGTTGTGTAACAGACTTTGGAATTTGCATTCTTCTAAATTCTCCACTATGTGTTCACCCAGCAAACTACTGACATTCCTGAACACTCGTGGCTCGGCCCGAGCTGGAACGAGCGGGCCCGCGGTCTGGGTGCCACGGAGACACATCCCGTGTCTACCGGAGCTGAGGAGAACGCGGGGTGCTACGGCCCCGGCAGGGACAGGTACAATATTTCACCATTGAGTAAAAGAGAATCTTTTTACACAACCAAGTAATTTATTCAGCTGAAGTTTCGGTGACCGTCTGTCACCTTCCTCAGGGCAATTCTGACTGGTTCATATTGTACTGCAGCACAGGTGTCGCAGCTGTAGATGCTGTAGATACGATTCCCTATAATCACGCATACGTGTAGATAGATTATGTTAGTGTACGCTTGGGGATGCAGCTAGCACACCTGTGCTGCAGTGCAATGTGAACCAGTCAGAATTGCCCCGAGGGAGGTGGCAGACAGTCGGCTGAATAACAGACTTGGTTGTGTAGAAAGAGTTTCTTTACTCAGTGCCTTACCAACCTGACAACGCGATGAAGCTACTAGTATTCACGCAAATGTGTATGATTCGGATGTTGCGAGGCTGGCTGACTTCTCTTCAAGAACACCCCGCAGCTCTAGGGCACACATGCTAGTTCCAACAAGAGTAAAATCATCCTCTTTTGCATCTTCGTTTATACCACGTGTTACAACGATTTGGAACAAACTTGATGCAGATACTAGAGGTCTAGGAATTAGGGCTTCAATCCTAACTGATGTGGTTGCCTTCAAAAGGAAACTCTCCTCATTTATGTACAGCAAATTTTGCCAAACCTACAGTTTAGAGCAACCCTGTATGTGACAGTTATCTTGTGGTTGCGCTACTTGTCTGGCCACAAGACCGCGCTAACTATGATATCACTGCTGGCTATACAACTGTCGTCATTTGTTGTCACGAATTAATAACTCTCACAATGTTAATAAGTTGACTAGTTCTAAGTTTATTCATTTGTTTCTCAAATTGTATTATGTGATTTGATTACTTTTTGTATTGTCTTGTCATTTTATTGGTATGGCGGCTTTAAAAAGGTATTTCATGTCAGAAACACCTGTTTCGCCATGCCATCCACAGTGCATATTGTACGTGGTAAAACTTAATAAATAAATAAATAAATTCACGAATATTCCGTCATGTTGGGAGAACGTACTTACAAGGAAGTCAGAGCTCGTTGAGATTTTGGAACAACCAATCGTCCTTGTCCTTGTTGTCTTTGCAGTAGACAGTTATCTGGTGCCTGTACCTATTTACTCATATGTCTAGTATATATTTGTTTACTAGCGTCACTACTGTAAGTTTGTCAACTTGAGAACATCACCATTTTGTCTGTATTGTCTTCTTACTCGAATAGAATTTTTAAAAAAAATTGGAATTGATGAATTATGATGAATGACGTCTGCACAGGTGGCACGAGGAAGACATCTTCCTCCATGAGACTGCACACGGGCTCCATGGGCTGGGCGCCAAGTACGCCATCCCCGGCTGGCAGGCGAGGCTGCAGGCGGCCTATGACAGCGCCCGGGCACGAGGCTTGTGGGACAACACATATGCTGGGAGTACCATCCAGGAATACTTCGCCGAAGGTGCGCTTGTTTTCAGTAAAGCCCCTTTCACACACAACCAAATACGGCCTCCCGAACACTGCCAACTCTATCCCTAATGGTTTTGGTTTTATTGTCCAAACAGTACCCGTGCAGTCGCAGCCTTTATACAGCTGAATTGATGCAGGGTATCACATAATAATCAATACAAATCACAACAATTACAAAAATCAAATAATACACATGATACACATATTGTTCCACAATTATTTTTTGTGGAACTGTCGCAAGGGTCTGTGCGGCTGCCATTCGGCGCCACAAGGTGACCTCAATACGACTTTCCCCAACCGAAGTTAGGTATCCATTCACACCTGGGTGGAGTGAGGAAAGTGGTGTTAGGTGCCTTTCCCAAGGGCACAACGTCGGGGCGCATGTTCAGACATGTACCGGGTACGACTCGGAATCGACCCGGGTCTCCCGGTTCATAGTCGATTGCTCTAACCACTACACCACCCGACGCCAAAAATCCCACTAATCCCAACTATGGTCGGGAGTAGGTTGGGAGCCATGTCGGCTGGTGTTTAGCTGCAGTGGGTTGTCTATTGTTCGGCTGTGCCAGTCGGATGTCTCAAAATGTTTCAAACGTTCACGGCGCTGACGGTAGGTTCGGACATAGTTACATCATAGTTGGCTAGTGTTTGGAAGTCACGGAGTCGGTGCATAGTTGTCGACAGTTTCAATTCTATTCATACAAACATCAAATATCCTCTCAAACCAGTAATTCAAATAATCCAATCTACGAAACCAGTCTACTACTACTACTACTACTACTGCTACTACTACATTAGGGCATCTAGGTATACTAGGTACTACTACTACTACTACTACTACTACTACTACTACTACATTAGGGCATCTAGGTACTAGGTACTACTACTACTACTACTACTACTACTAATAATAATAATAATACATTAGTGCATCTAGGTACTAGGTACTATTCAGACTAGAGCTGTGTACCGGTACGCAGTACCGATACTGTACCAGAAAAATTGATTAGGTACAGGTCCAAAATACCTAATCCCTCAGTACCGGTACTGTACCTAAACAATTTCACACTAATTTTATGCCTATTTGTGACCTCAAATGTTTAAATAGCTGGTTAACAATGGGTGCCTGTGTAAGGACAGTGTGTTCATGAAAACAAAAACATCTTAGTTTTGCCTATATTTTATCTGAGCATTCGCCATAAACAAAGAATAAACCTTAACTATCAAGTTTATTTATGTTTTTTTGTTATTGAAGGAGTTCAGAAGAGCATATAAATTGGTCGAATTGTTCAGGTACAGGTTCAGGTCCGGACCTGTACCTAAACCTGTGTACCTGTACCTGTACCTAAAATTTGTTTAGGTACACAGCTCTAATTCAGACGTATGTAAGATAGCGTGCATGGTAAAGCGTATACGGTACCAGTGCTGGTAAACTTGCATTTTAAACCGAAACATTAGAAACAGATCGCTACAGCAGTGCTAGAGAGTATTGACTGGCTTTTAGTTTGACTTAGATAACGTTATGTAGAACGTCGTGAGAGAAATACAATGGTGTCCGTCTATCCATCTAAAGCTGACACAACACTAGGCAAAAACATGTAACTACCTTACAGGATACAAGAATTTTATTTAACACAACCAAACTATTTACCTTGCTGACTCTTTGGTGTCTGTCAGTAAGGTAACGCCAGTTAGGTAAATTGTTTGGTCTTATATCGATATCCTATACTTTACGGATGTAATGAAGCTATTTTTGGAACTACCTTACAGGAGTGCAGAGTTTTTTCAACGTGGAGTCGTACCGTAACCCTCCTGACGGGATCCATAACCACGTGGACACCAGGGAGAAACTGTACCAGTACGACCCGACCCTGTACGGGCTTATCTCACAGGTCTTCCCCTGCAGTAACCACATCGTGGACCGCTGCTCGGACCAAGGTAACACCGCACTCATCGTGAACTATTTACACGTGGGAAAAAAACAAAGGAACAAAATCAGGTCGGCAAAACAAAAATAGTCTGTCATTTACTGCCATTTCTTAGCACATCATACTTGATCTTTCAACAGTTTATTCATAAAAAACAGCCTCGCAGCCTGTACAAAAACATGCTGAATAACAGTGCTTTTTTTACAGTTGATTCTCTGGCAAATACATATTAACATTACAATACATACACAAACACAAACATTTTTACAAAAAGCCTCACATGGGCACTACAGTAAAGACCAAACCGTATAAGAGTCTTACTGCGAAGTCGACGCGCTTGAAAAAGCCCCAGGACACGCGAGCACACGTGGGCACCGCGCATATAACTAGCTAGAATCATCCTACTACTATACAAAATATTCAAGCAATCGTATTTTCTGTCATCAATATCGCTTTTTGCAACTGCCTCACAGATATACTAGTATTTTTCGGTACAAATATACTATGGAATAAGATTGATTCAAATTAATACATTAAAAAGGTGGCCAGAAAATTGTCTTTGAATTCGAACATCCAGTTTCGCATATTGTTTCGATGGCGTATGAAAATATGCCAATGACTTGAGGGTGTCGTCACCATGTGTTGTTGATCAATTTTACGATAAGAAACATTGCCCCAAACATTCCTGATTCTCCAGGGTTGACCAGTGGTACTCCTCTCAAGATGAACTGCAACAGTGACGGGAGCGGGGGTATCAGCGTAGAAGGGAACAGCGGCGGGGAAAGCGGCAACACGTATGGTGGCGACGGTGGGAGTGACGCAGGTAATGTTAACAGCTACCATGCATCAAAACTGCAAATATTCTGAATAAGGCAATTCTGTGTAATCTGGATTTAGGCTGTCCTAGAACATTACATTTTTGTTCTATAAATGTCGATATACATTGGGATAGTGCTGTTATAATATTATGGAGACAAGTGACTTTGAAAGGTTTTTTTAGTCCTAAAACTGTACTGGACACTTTTAACAGCAGTCCACGTACGTATTATAGTCTCGTGTAAAAACATTGTCATATGAATCGGTTATTTGCTAGTTGTGATTTTTCAGGCATTTCCGTCAAGTTGTCAAAACAAGATGCTTGGGAAATAGACCCCGATGTTGATCGTTTTAATTCCTACGCAGCTTCACTACGAAGCCATATGTCCCAAACGTCTACACTCCGCTTGACATACATGCGTTCAAAGTTTGGTTCATGATCGCCTTCATGGATTTCTGGGAGATTATCATCACCTATATTTTTTTTGACGATCACCATGTATTTATAGGAAACTGCCAGGACCTGAACAGCTACTGTCCTGACTGGGCTGTCCAGGGATACTGCTCCGGGGTCCACAGTACCTACATGAGTACCAACTGTCGCCGGAGCTGTGACATGTGCGCCACCGGAAGCGGAACTGGGACAGGCTCATCTCAGGAGAACGCGGGGGAGGGGCAAGGTCAGTGAAAGTTTTCTTATCGTTAATGTTGATAGTTACAGTTTTCTTATCCTTTTCTTATAGTAACAGTTTTCTTATCGTTAATCGTAACTTAATGAGAATGTATTTTCACCATAGCTACTTATTGCATATCCCCCACCCTAAAAATAATAACTCAGTTATTAACACTACATATTCAACAATGTACTCCGACCACAACCAAACTTTCGTCAACTACTTCTTTATTTATTAATTTATTAATCTTACAAACAAATGGGTAGTCCCTTCAGCCGTTGAGGCTGATTACCAAGGGAGCCCATGGAAACATGATACAATAAAACAATCTAACACTGAATGATTATAATCAAACGTAAAAAAGGAATTCGAAAATCTTACAAACAAATGGGTTGAGGCTGATTTCCAAGGGAGTCCATGGAAACTTCATACAAGAAAATAATGTAACATAGAAATCCTATTAGGATAGCCATTAGGAAATCTAAATTAAGACAGTCGTATCTCTATTTCGTGTTAATTCAGATTCTTTATTGACACAACAAAAAGTACAGAGACTTCTGTATGGTCTTCTACAACTTAACTAAAGATCTAACAAAGCTAAATACATGTGTGGATAACGTCATCTTACGTACAGAGTATATGTATGATGTAACAATAAAGGTTAACTATTCTCTAACATGTGTTCTCTAAGATCGAAACATTCTTTAAATGTATTTTCCTATTTGAACACTGTATTGGTTATCTCCCCTGAGAATGTAGTTGCATTTATCTATAGGACCTAACGTATTGAAATCAATTGAACAAGCGGAAAGATAGGTGAACAGCAATAGGCGCTTATCATTGTAGAGTGTACAATCCGTTATAAAATGGTGCTCATTTTCAATCTTGTCTGGACAAAATGGACAGAACCTTTGGTCATTTGGTATTTTCTTGTATCGACCCATTTCTATGTTTAATTTATGACAACTAATTCTTAATTTTGTGATCGCTTTTCGGATATCTAGATTGCGTATACTTGAGAGGTATTGTTTTTGTCCATAATTTTCCTTTAATGCGGTATAAACTGCAGGGTGTTACAGCGAACTAAAACATTATCAGTAACGTTTACAATACTATCGATGTCACTATCATGAATTGAGCAACGCAACTGGAAACTAGAAAGGCCAATATTTGCTTTGGAGCAAATACAGCGATGGGTTCACCACATTTTACCACATGGCAGGGAAAGAATGAGAAACACAAGGGAAAACAATGATTTACATTGATATAACTATAATATGAAGTAACATACAACTAAAACAACAGTTGGATAGCTATTCCCTACTTTATTGGTTAGGATTTTTAATTGCATAATGCAAACTGTTGATTTTCAAAAAAAAAAAAAAAACGTTCATGCCCCGCATTCCAATGCTGGAGCAGAAAAGCTTGAAATACCTACCAAAACACTTGAATAAAGACATACTGTCAGTATGGAAATACTCTGTGCAGGTGTTAATCAAGTTAAATTCCAACAGCCAATCAGCAAGAAGTATAGAGGAAAGCTGCATGCCTATTGGTTGATGCCCTGCATTCCATTGTGATGACTCATGCCCAGACGTGGTAAACATGGCACACTAACACAGTAATACATTAGCTATAATACAGCCAAAAAAACTCAAATAAAACCATTCTAAAAGCCTGTATCACAAAAATTTAAAAAACGCCTAGGGGTATTTGCCCACTGTACCTCCATACCAAATTTCAGGACCTTAGGCCCTAAAATGAAGAAGCTGAATCCATTTAAAGATATGGCAGGAGGAGGAGGAGAAGGAGGAGGAGAAGAAACATCAGAAAAAGCAATATGAACCCATAAAAAAAGCGACCCACTCAAAAAAGTGCTCGTGAAACCAAAATACGACCTCATCTGATTATACTAGTAGTTGACATAATTTATAATGCCTAACTAACAAATACGTTCACAATAAGTACAGACAGAGTGTTATATTCGAAATATTAATTCGGAAAAGTCAACACAAGCCAGTCTCGGCAGACTATTGGCGTAGTTTTGTATTTATGTACTTTTCCGGGGTGACGTCAGCTCCGGAAAAAGCACAGAACTGCTAAAATAAAATATACATATGCAAAAATTACCTGAGGGGGTCGATTGGGAAGCTTACCATAGCTAGGCTAAGGCCGTGTTCATGTGAAGTCAGTGAAGGTGCTTTACATGTGGTTTACCCCGAAGCCGGTTTCATGTGCACGTGGCTCCATCTGAACGCTCCAAATCACAAGCGCCTCGATCCCAAACCACTTCTAGAGGTGGTTTCGAATCGGTTTTCCCGCATCGCGATTTGCGTCTGAACGCAATGTGATTTCAATGTAACTTCGCCTGGTCATGGATTACGGGTGAAATTACTTTATTTATATGCAATACCAACTTTTACGTGGCAGCAACTTAAAGAGAAGTAATGGTCAAATAATGTGTCCGTTCTAGGATGAGCTTCACCGCCTCTGGCGGGACTACGTCGGCATTCGGCCGAGATACGCGGGGATGGGGGCACCAGCAAGCAGGTCGTTGACCCCTGACATTGATAACACGCCACCTTGCGTGTTTTCACCAAACAATAATGAATGCAGTTTCGTAGAATCGTGATAGGACACGGTTTGCAAGGAATGCATGGCACGTGGACGAGATGTGCGGAATGCGAGTTACCCGAATCGCGGTTTTGGGTGACTTCACATGAACAAGGCTTAAGTGATTAGTTATACTTATAACAGGTTAGCCAGCATTTCATTGGCCAGTCGTGACATATAAATTATGCAATATACCATTAGTGGAGAAGCTTGGAGTCTCCATAGAGTCAGCAGTTGATGTTTTTTTTTGTATTTTAGGGTCTTACTGCGAGGACACGAACGGTAACTGTGCGGGGTGGGCCCAGCGGGGAGAGTGTCACTACAACCCCGCCTACATGAACCAACACTGTCCGAGGAGCTGTAACCTGTGTCAGCGTACTACTGGTAGGTCCCAATCTGTAAATAATTTCATAAGTTAAGTAAGTGATTGTCAATGAATATCAAAGTTCTTCATTAACAACCACTTGTTAACAATAGCCGAGTCGGACGTTTCGATGACCACATGTAATCTTCATTATGTTTATAATGACTAGTTCACTCACTGTGCATTGAAATGAGCGAAGCAAGGTGTTAGCTTGTTGGGTAACGAGGGCGTAAGAAAGTATGGAATTTTGTATGCATTTATTATGCAAATTAGGTCATCATTTGCATAATTAGTATCTGTTGATGTTCCATCTGCCATAGGTTACATACATTACAAGTATGAAAGTACTATAATGTACAACATTGTAATTATAGGATTTCCTCATTAATTATGCAAATAAAGTCCTCATTGCCATAATTTGCAATTCATTATGATCATATCTCTCTCAGCTACCTACCTACCAAAATGATGAAAATACGTTGTTCCTATCTGGACTAATTGGCTTTCAAAGATTTCGCCCGAAAGTTCCCTGCAGTTTCAGGACAAGCTGCTAGGGGGTCCAAACCCACACCACTTATTCCTGACAGGAAAAGCTATCTGTCACCAAAACACGGCGGTCTGTTACTACGACATTCCTTCCCATTGCTGGGGGCGTTCGATAAAGTATCGGGTTACAAGACGTAATTTTGGGCTAACCGCAAAACATTTAAAAATAAACCAAATAGTATCGAAGGGAAAATTTCGTTGAAATAAAATAAAATTATTGTCTTTATATACATTTAATGGTGATTTTTTGCGCTAAATGGATGATTTTGTCGGATTTCGTTAAAAAAGGCGATAATTTTCGGGATTTCAAAGCGCCATATATACTTTAGCCAATCACCGAGCAAACCTGGCTACACATATTATGCAAGATCACTGATTTTTATATTTTTCGACGACCTGAAATAAGATGAAAAATCGTGCTTAAGGGATTTTTTAATTTCTGACTCTAAGAATAGGTTTTGGCCGACAAATAGGTGAAAAAATCGATTTTTTTGTGCCTTTTTCGCACTCAATTACCCATAGTTCAAAATCGAGCGCATTTTTCAAAAATCCCTAAAGCACGATTTTCACGACAATCGTGACAGTCATTTTAAGCCGTCAATGGGGTATGTTTGACTCTCCTTGCTTCCAGGTTTGAACGAGTTTTTGCAGACATGTCATATAGTCCGAAAGTGCACGGTGGTAAAATCTGGGCTGCAAAGTTCCCACATTTCATAGAATCCGAACTGTGGTCGATCGTGTTCGATCTGGGCAATTCGAATCGAACCCGCGTTCCATTTCGGGGTCACCTGCGGTCATTTGCAATAAAGCAGCAAAACAAGCCCTTCTGCCTGAGTGCCTCGCAACAGATAAAAAACAACACTTTTCTATAGATACCAACAGTTTCCAGGACAGTACATGTCCGCTATCATTTTTTTGTGGACATGTAACATGTAGCGAAGCAACTGTCGTATCCTTGGGTAACCTTGAATACTGTAATGATTCTTTACGCCTTTATGAATAACACGGTGCACACTTTTGGGAGATATGACATTTCTGCAAAACTCGTTCAAACCTGGAAGCATAGAGGGTCAAACATACCCCATTTACGACTCAAAATGACTGACACGGTTGTCACGAAAATCGTGGTTTAGGAATTTTTGAATTATGGGTAATTAAGTGCAAAAAAAGCAAAAAAAAAATTCGATTTTTTCACCTATTTGTGGACAAAAACTATACTTTAAGTCAGAAATTAAAAAATCCCAAAAGCACGATTTTTCATCTTATTCCTGGTCGTCGAAAAATATAAAAATCAGTTACCTTGCGTAATATGTGTAGCCAGGTTTGCTCGGTGATTGGCTAAAATATGGCGCTTTGAAATTCCATAAATTATCAACTTTTTTAACGAAATCCGAAAAAAATCATCCTTTAAGCGCAAAAAATCACCATTGAATGTATGTAAAGACGATAATTTTATTTTATTTCAACGAAATTTTCCCTTCAATACTAGTTTGTTTATTTTCAACTGTTTTACGGTTAGCCCAAAATTGCGTCTTGTAACCCGATACTTATCGAACGCCCCCAGCAATGGGAAAGAATGCCGTAATGACAGACCGCCGTGGTGTGCACCGTGTTATTCATAAAGGCGTAAAGAATCATTACAGTATTCAAGGTTACCCAAGGATACGACAGTATCTTCGCTACATGTTACATGTCCACAAAAAATGATAGCGGACATGTACTGTCCTGGAAACTATTTGTATCTATAGAAAAGTGTTTTTTTTTATCTGTTTCGAGGCACTCAGGCAGAAGGGCTTGTTTTGCCGCTTTATTGTAAATAACCGCAGGTGGCCCCGCAACGGAACGCGGGTTCGATTCGAATTGCCTAAATCGAACACGATCGAACACTGTTCGGATTCTATGAAATGTGGAAACTTTGCAGCCCAGATTTGACCACCGTTAAAATTCAAGACCATAGCATGTTCAAGACAAAATATTTTAAAAAAAAAAACCAGAAGTTCTGCTGCCGTACCAAGGTCATCAACCAGAAGGCCCATTTTTGACCTTGACCTTCGTCTTCCTAAGACTTACCAGCATACAAAATATCAGCACAATCCATAAAGGCGTTATTAAGTTATGCTGACTACAAATGTGCGGACACACACACACAGACACACACACACACACAGACACACACACACACACAGACGCGCAAAAACAATGCCAACATTTTTTATGGAGGTAACAAATAGTTTGATGCTAATGATAAAAAAAATAATGACTACTTGTAAATATGCTGCGATATGGATAAAATAAGCGTTTTGTGCGTATCTTTGAGACTCTTTGATACATTATTTTCACCACAAAATGGACTGTAGGGCTCATTTCTGTTTTCGTACCTTCCAGGATCCACGTGAGAAGACAAGGTCACCACAGCTGGTACTGGTCCCAGAACAGCTACAGCAGGTCTAACATCACCTACGCTACCGTACGGTCATTGCCATTTCAAACGGTCGATATCATATAGTTGAACGACAAAAAGTATTTTGGAATTAATTAATGCTCCGTCAATAACGTGATGTTTTGTGGTGTAGAGAATTAGGATTTTAGGAGTGGGCTTTTGACCCGTGTTTAATTAATGCTTGTGTGCTGTTTTGTTTTCACTTGTATTTTACTATTTGAACGATATTGTCGTCTGCAAATTGAATTATGCTTTTTATAAAGTGTTCTCAATTTAAAAATAAAGATGACACGTAGTATCATGCTTATTTTTCTGTACTTACTTTGACGAGTTTTATTTCTCAGCATTTTTTGATTAATGTCGAAATCTACCAAAATTCCGTGCAACCTCGGTTGCGTGATGTATGTAAAACCGACAATGATTAATACACCAGATAAAATAACCGTTGTCAATATATAATTACGTGGCTCGTACTATCAGGAACAATACACTCCAGTTATCCGACTTTTATATGTGCTAACGGTATGTGTTTCAATGTTGTTATGAGGAGCCATACGCTTTCATAAAAGCCAGTAGAAGTTGCATTTATCAAATGATAGTTGAGACTTGCGCTCAGCCAAGTGTGGCAAAATGTGCAATAAAGGACGTCATTCATTCAATGAAAAGGGTGCGTCTAAGTCGTGATTTTACTGTTTTGTTTTTAGAGTAGAATATATCTTTGCAATGGTGTTGATTTTATACGTTTACTTTTCAGTTGAATTTCCACATTACTGTTCTCCAAATCACTGTCTAAACAGATATTCGGGAGCGAAATTAGAATGGCTTCCGGGTCCCTTCATGATTAAACAATATCTTAGCAAGAATATCTATTGGGATTGTCGTTACTATATATGTTTATATACACAACCAATACATCTATCACAGGTAAAATGTGTATGTATATCGGCCGTTCCAAGAAAGAGTACCCACCTGTTAACAGATTGGCTATGTCGAGTGTGATAGTATGACAGGCTTGGCGACTTGAATCACTGCCAAAGACTTTTCTTTCGGACGTTTTACTTGGTGAAACGCACGTACACCAACATTCCTCACGACCCCCTCCCTACACGAAGAATAGCACAGGGCGATGCCATTTTAAAGTCAACAGGGGGTGGCCAGGGACAGTGAATCATGTAAATATTGGCGATCCGGGTGGGGTATATACAGTACACATACGTACAAAATATATTTACCTCCGCCAGGAGGTTATGTTACAGATACAGATTTTTTTACGTACTGCTCCAGTTTTTACGGCCCTTGGTGGCAAATGTGCAAATGTTGCAAATTGCTTGTGCACATAAGGCAGAATAGCTGAAGTGGGTTGGTGGGCGTCACTTCGATGTCAATGAAAGGTGATGTACGGTGCTTTTCCCAAGGGCACAACGTCGGGGCATGGAGAGTATCGAACCCGGGACCTCTTGGTTCCGATTCCAACGCCCTAACGGTTGCACAACCACGTTGCGTAATGGTTAGAGCGTTTGGCCCAGAAACTAGCGGTTCTGGGTTCGAATCCCACATTACACGACGTTGTGCCCTTGGGAAATGCACGTTTAAGTTCAATGTTAAAACACACTTTTTTTCACTTCACTCAGGTTGAAACGAGTACAATATATATAGGGTCCAATTTGGACCCTCTATGGCTGGCTAACTCCTCTTGGCCAGTTACATTTTTTTAGGCCGATTTGTACTCTTTATCCAGGTTGCAAAGGAGCCTGGTGAAGACATAAAAACATAGAGAATGCCAACTCCCTAACATGACTCGAGCTCCCTGACCCCTTCTCTCCATTACAAAAACTCCCCCGGCGGCAAACTCGTCAATCCGCGGCATAAGTGCGTACAAGGACATTATAATTATGTGTATAACGTCCTTGAAGCGTCGCTCACCAAAAAAAAAATATGTCGCCCCCCAACAAGTCTGCGAAGAAGGCTATACGGGCCGACTTTGGAGTGTTTTGGCAACGGTTTGTAGGCACAGGTAAGTACGTCTTGTGGCGTCATCTTTACATAAGCCGCTCTCCACCAGACTCCTTCGAAGGCTAAATAAATAGTAAAAGTCTGCCTGCAGTGTGTGTGTCAGTTGGACAGACACTGCGGTCGTGCAAGTATTTATGGTGACCGGCAGTGGGTATGTTTAAACATGCGCCCAGGAACTGCAAAATGTTTTGGGTGGGTTGGGTGTTGACATAACAGTGTCAAATCAGATTAACTTAAAGGTGTTTAAAAAAATTCAATCACATAAAATACCTTTGGCTATATATTCTGAATTACTCACATTATAATAGCATAAAATGTTAGCTGCACAAGTTTCTAAGACTGCTGTACCCTAGTTCAAAATTCGATGCGCTACAGTTACTTTTGTTATGCTAATGATAGTATGACTGCAACATCCTAATATGTCAGAATTTCGGCAAGCCCTGGACTCCAACTCTTGGGAGAACAGGAACCGGAGGCACCAAAATTCCATTTGTTCTGCAAAGAAGGCTTGACGCCGAGCCGACTGTCCACAAGTGACAGGGACGAACTCTTTTACCCAGCGGGCGGGCATGGAAACCCGCGGCCGGGGTGCTCGGATTAGAGGTGAGCGGCCACAGGGCGGAGTGTCCCCGGCTAGCGTTGTCCTTCTGTACGATACGGCCGTGGCTCTAAGACCTGGCCCCAAAATCCGCTCTATTGTGCAAATGAATAAGGACTTCCAACCTGAGGAGAGCTAAAAGTTTGAGAACAACAGGATAAAATGGAAGACGGAAAAGATATGGTTAGAAGAAACGGGGCCCAAATTCCCAAGAGACCGAAAAATGTAATCTCCAAGCAGATCCCTCTCGGTGGCAAAAAGACAGTATCAAATTGGCCAGACAGTATCCATTAGCCAGAGAAGCTCCATTAGCCACCGACGGGATCTGCAGAGAGTCGCACTGTACAAGGTTATTATCACGCAATTGTTACCTAATCAAACCGCGATCTGTCCGGGTTTAGGAAGAAGGTGTGAATTATGCCCGGCGCGCGAGCGCCTGTCCGGCATCTCACAGGATGTATCGTCACAGGTCATGTACGATACCGTTAGCGGGCCAGTTTGAATTCTAGCCGCGGCAGTAAAGGAGGCGAAAGTCTGACGTGTTTTCCGTGGTACCAACTCTTGCCCGCCCGCTTCCATTTTAATGAATGATTGAATACGCCTCCCTCCCACAAAAAATACGAAGCATTGCTCTCCCCCTTTTCTCCGAAAATAAAGTGCAAATACAATCCTTGCGCTCTTCACAATTGAAACAAAAATATACTTGACATCCATCAGTGATACGCTAACATATGTCAATAGATAATGCTTCTTTATTCATCGGCAAATTTCGCAGTCTAACGTTACAAAAATTATGCCATGTGGTGAAAATATCCGATGCATCATTGAACAGTATATTTTCTCCTCCTTGCAAACAGTAAATAATCAAGTACCTAACCTATCTGTCCACTATCCTGGCTTCGAGGCCGTTAAATGGACTATCCAGCACAGAGGAAATTCACATGGCAAATCGGAAAGGAAACTAACTTTGTGGAATAAAAACAACGTTTGCAAAGTTTTAAGCGGGGACAACAAAATGGCTAGAACGCACCGCATCCAAACACAACGGTAGGATAGTAATGATCGCCAGAAACACCAAAATATATGAATATATGTAAATGTAAAAAAACTAATACTTCATTATGTGTTGAAAATCAAATCTGTATTTATTTTGTTGATCTCGAACGTTTATTCGGTAATTCTGTACGTAATCATGTTAACTCTGCTACGTTGTAGTGCTATCGCTGTCAGCTGGTGGTATGCTAATAAGGCATGTGCGGTTGATTGCACGGGCCCGAATTGCACTGCAGCGCGCTGGGCGGCCTCGTAAAAGGATTTCCGCTACCAGTTCACAGATTGCGGGAAATAGGGGCACGGGGAGGGACTTTGACACGTTTTTCAAAGAACTACTCCTCCCCTTGTCCTCTGTGGCTGCGACTTTCGGCAGAGGTTGGTGGGGATTAGGACAAAAAAAAACGGCCATATATAAAAAGGTAACGATCATTCCCCACAACCTCTGCTTGGAGAATACGAAAAATGACCGGGGCCCGGGCATTTATACTCTTCATGAGGTCATGTTCACTATGCTAATCACAAGTTGCGAATTAGGGTAGACCATTCCACAAGACGAGGCGTGTTTTTGTTGATTTAACATTTTGATAAAGACCTACCTCAATTCTACCTAAGTATATCGACATTCATATATATAGTCTAGGGTATAACAGCTTTAACTTTTTACGATGTGCAACTGCGACGGGGGTCGACACCGTTTACCAGATACATTTGACCCAGTGTTGACGTGACACTTCAGAGAAGTCTACTGATGAGGAATGCCAGAGTGACTGTTTGAAAGCTCTTGGTGACAGCATGTTTGTTTTGTTTTGTGTCGTGTGTTGGAAACTACGTCATAGTTACTACCTAACTGACCAAATATTTGGCTTGCGCTATTTCCTGATCAGGACCAGTCAGGAGTGTTGGAAGGACTTCGGGTAACGCACATGAAGGTAAGATAATTACGAGTAAAAGTAATGCTATTTATGAGTTTGTGGGGGGGGGGGTGACAGAATGAAGTTATCTTATCAGGGCAGCCTGAAAGCTATCCTAGTGTCCAGTCAGTTTTTTGAACGACGGGATCGGGAGTTCACCACGTCGTGGGGCTAATCAACTAGCGTACAAACTATTTACTCTGGGGACCAGGCTGGGTGTCGGGCCGTATAGCCAGGGCTTTTCGGAGCCTCCAAAGCAGTACACCGACCTTGGTCTATTACCGCTGCGTTGGGCGGCCTTTTACCGATCTGGTGTCTCCTACCTTGGCTCAACTCCCCACGTAGCGGTAGTCTGGCTCTACTACCAAAGCCCGACAGGCGTAACACTAGGGGGAGGGCGAAAGTATTAGAGTCCCAAAGAGCAACTGTAACCTTCAACATACAATCTCGTTACCCTTACATTGGCCAGTTTCTGACTCGGAGCCCCCATCGTTTACATATACTTATATTTGCGAAGCATTTTGAATTGATATTGTAGATCTAGCCTTTGCTTTCCTCATCCTAATTTTGTATTCCACTTTAAGGTCGAGTCGTGTGTTGCACATATTGTTTTATTAACATGTAAGGATTTTATTGACATGTAAGGTAAGTTCATTCAGTGACAGAGTATACGTTGATCTGCTATGTTAGGCCACACCAAGTAAATTTTATGGATGACGTCCTTTGAAGACCCTAAATCTAATGCGAGAGGGTGAAAAAAAACAAGAAGGGACCCTAAAAAACAAGATGCCTAAGGTTAGAAAATTATACTAAGAGACGACAAACGTTAGGACACAAATTGAATGAGGTGACACAGTATAACAAGCAAGAAGTCTTTTATTCATCATCGAAACAGCAATAAATCAGGTGGAACAGCAGTTGTCGTCCTGTCCTGTTTTCGCGTTACAGGTTTCACGTCAATCTGACGATTTGCACTGTCGTGACTCTTTGGTCATAGTTACAGGAAGCGGAATTTCTTTTTTTTTTCTAGGAACAGGCCAAAATCAATGCGCGCGCGGACGTCATCCATAAAATTTACTTGGTGTGGCCTTACAGAACATTTGAGGTACCGTAGTTATTTTCTCTATAAAGCTCAAAAGTGGTATTTACCAATGGTAGTAAATGTCGGTTAATATTTAAGCGTTAGACTTTACAATGGCAGTAAATAACTCAACCTCAGCACTTTAATAATATCATTCAGTACTGAAGAAATTGTATCCGAACCACTCATAATTTAAGGAGTATGGATCATAATAAGCCTGCTCAAGAACTATTACCACTATTCCTTTTATAATATGTACCTGGTGGTAACATTCAATATTGTAAACCCAGTATACAGGTGCAGGCAGACATCATAAATAACATGCACAGACCCAATTTTACCTGCAATAACCTGCATATGCGGGTGGCGGGTGGTATTTGATACTTACACATGCGGGCTCTTGAACATAATGGTGGCTCCTATAAGTGTGACCGAAGACATAATACTCCAAGCAGAAGAGGCCTACTTTGGCGGTGACTAAACTCTAAACATCACGATCGTGTTTTCAGGGCGCGTGTTAAGAAGGCTAAAGATGAAGGGCAGCTCTGTTGCAGCCTTTCTCCTCTTCTGTGCCATGATCTGTTGTCCTACACATGGAGGTAAGCGCCATGGGATAACGACCGAGGGAGGTCACGGTAGAAGGTCTTTCCTAATTAACATGATTTATTACGAAACAGGTTGTATACTTTTGCCCCTCCCCCACTTCCAACGAGGGAGTGTTGTTTGTGCTATGTGTTTTTTATTTAGTATTTGTTATTTGTATTTAGTATGTGTTTGTGTGTTTAGTATGTTTTGTGTCTGATGTGTGTGTGTGTGTGTGTGTGTGTGTGTGTGTGTGTGTGTGTGTGTGTGTGTGTGTGTGTGTGTGTGTGTGTGTGTGTGTGTTTTGTACGCGTGTATGTGTATATATGTGTGTGTTACTGTATGTGCCTATGGTTGTTTAAGCACTGCAGTTTATTTATATTCACTGCTCAAAAATCGGAATATCCGGACGTTTCCGGACCTGTACATGTCCCGTGAAACTTGGCGTGCCCGGGTGTGTCCGGGTGTGTGCAGGAAATGTCGGCCACGGCGTGTGCGGGTCTGTGATTCCTCCGGACACGCCCGGACACCTGGTAATTAGTCGTGTGTACGGGAATATACGGGCCTGCACACGTCACACGTCGCAAGTACTGCCAAACAATAAGGGGTCACCATACATGTAGATCGTTTCGCAAATGCGTAAATTGAGAGGTGCACATGTGTTTTCAAAGCCGGTAAGAAGAACGGGCAAAATGCTGGTTAGAAAACAATATTATTTTCACTCCCGAAATCTACCTAAACATGAGTTCGTTCCATGAACCGAATTACTACCTAAAAACGTTGTAGGTAACAGGCAACGCAACACAAAGACAAGACATCTAGATTGGATGGTAGAGGAAATCAGCGTTACATTAAAAGTTGGTGAATAGAATAAATGTTGTTTGGGGGCCGATGTCTGTTATAAACTCGCCCTCGCCAGAGTCTGGTTGACTTTTGGGCCACGCCAGGCTTATATAAACTCTGCTAAAGAATCTAGAATAATATATAAAGCTTGGTATGAACAAGGATTTTATATGAACATGGAGCTTCAACTAGGTTATGATATAACGTCCTTGGTATGAATGGGGTCTAAGTGTATCCCTGTATATATTTGTAACTATAACCCTTGCTATGAACAATGAGTAGATTTCTTTGTGTGGTCCATCGTCTCCCCGCATATATTAACGCCTCATTATACCGGCACCATATTGAATCTACAGTGGGCAAAAACAACAACACAATTACTGATCAGAATTTTACCAAACTAGTCTATTGGGAACCTTCGACCTTGACATATTTCACCTTTGGAAACATGGTCGTTTTCTTTGGTAATGAGAGGGACCGCTCTGATGTTTTTTCAAATATCAGCCCACTTTAGTGTAAAAATAATTTTTTGGAAGAGGCAAAAGATGCATAGTTTACTTGTACATTGTTGTAAGATGTGTATTGTGGTGTCATGGTCAGAGACGAGACGGCGCCTATGTCTTATTTACTTTGTTTGTTTGTTTTTATATAAGAGAGGTTTAACTTCCTTGGTTATATTTAATTTTTATACTTTAAGAACACGAAGTTGAAAACATTACACGGGTAAACTGCAAATTATGTGTTGATGATAACATTCCAGACTATTTTATAGCCTATGTTTTTTTATTAGTGTGCGTGCAACTTTTACATAATAGACAAGCAGGACATTTCACAACTCTTTGTATATCATTATTCCTGCGGTGACCTGTAAACCAGACCAGCCAATTGCATGCATTTCTCTTTGTTGGGGTTTGAAAAGAGGCC